CTCTCTCTCTCTCTTTCTCTCTCTCTCTCTCCCTCTCAAAAAAAAGTACTATTAAGTTGTCTTCTATTATGCCTACTTTCAATGGGGCAGACATGCCTCAGAGGTCACAGGCATTTGATAAATAATGCATGGCTGGCCCATGAGTTGCCTGCAAAAGTATTAGATCCTCCCTCGGTAGGATACATGCTCGAACAACATTAACACCTAAAAGGCATACAGGTCTTGCAAAATATGTATTCAATGCATGGTATCTTTTATTAAATAATAAACTAACTAGGAGAACAGCATTTGCAACCTGGCACCTGAAGGACTGGCCAGGCATGTGACCAGTATCTGTGACCTGACCCATGAAGGACTACCCAGGGGTGTGCCAGGAATCTGAGAGCCTGGGAAGAAACACTGCCACCAACGCTAGGGAGAGTACACTCAGACTTTATCCCCACCCAGTTCTCTCCCCTGTGTATCTGTCCTTCTTCTCTGTTTAGCAGCCACTCTACCCAGACAGCTCTGCTCTCTTATCTTTCCCATCTCTTTCCATCTCCCTCTCTGCTCCCCTTCTCTTCTTTTGTTTTCCTTTAACCACCCCTTTCCCTCTTTTGTTTTCCTTCCGATTGTCTTTCCCACACACCATGTGCTAGCCTAGTGTGTGGGTTTCCACGTCTCAGCCACTTTAGGCTGGAACTCTTTTAGGTTATTTGATAGCTGTATTCCCCTCTCTTCATTCTACCTGTAAGCCAGCTCCCTTACCCTGCAAGCATTTCTGCTACGATCAAGACTAAGGCAAGAGTTTCCACTTTCTTCACTCTTATCAATATAGTGCTTCAAGTCTTGGTTATAGAAATAACACAAGAGAAAGAAACAAAAGAAACACAAATAGAAACATTAGTCAGCATTAACAAATGATATGACAGTATAGGAAACCCTAGAGCATGCCGCAGAAAACTCCTGGGGCTAAGACACACTTTCAGAAATGTGACAGGACACAAAATAAACATACAAAACTCAGTAACCTTTTCATACACCAATAACAAGCATGTTGAGAAATAAATCAAGGAAATAATTCCCTGTGTAGTTGCCTTGAAGAATAAAATAAAATGCCTAGGACAAACAGGACAAACCTAACTAAGGCAGTGAAAACTTTCAAACCTGCGAAGACATTGAAAAGGATACCAGAAGAGTGGAAAGACCTCCCATGCTCACAGATGGTAACAATCATAATATGAATATGGTTATACTACCAAAATCAATCAACAGATTTAAAGCAATATTTATAAAATGACATTCTTCACATAAGTAGAAAAGGAATCTTAAAATTCATATAGGAACACAAAACATCCCAGATAAATAAAGCAATCTTAGGCAAGAACAATAGTTGAGACCATCATATTTGATTTCAAGTTGTATTACAGACTAATAATAATAATAATAATAATAACAAAAGACAGCATAGTACAGGCACAAAGATGAATAGAATAGAATGCAGAACCCAGATACAAACGACCTAATTTTTTTTTATAAAGGTGCCAAAATATACCCTGGAGAAAAAGACAGTCTCTCATTCACATGTAGAAGAATGAAGCCCAATCCTTATTTCTCACCCCCATTCAAAAATCAGGTCTAAATATATGAAAACTCTTAGTGTGAGACCTGAAAGTCTGAAGCTGTTAGAGGAAAAGGCCAACCAAACACAAGATATGGCACAGGCAGAGGCTTTCTGAGTGGTCCCGAAGCGGTCTCCAGTCACTTCCAGTCACTCGGGAAGTAATGCCAACAACTGGCAAATATGATCCCATGAGATCAATGAGCTTCTTCTACATGTCAAAGGAAACACTGATTAGGTGAAGAGACAGCCTACACAGCGGGATGAGATCTTTTCCAGCTAGATATCTAAATAATAGATAGACTATACAAAGATCTTAAGGAAGGGGGCAGAAAGAACGTAAGAGCCTGGAAAAAAGATGGGGAGAAAAGTGAAATGCTGACTGCCGGGCATGAAGGACATGGCTGTTCCAATCCTGAACCCATACCAGTTATGATTAACCGCACAACACGGAGCTGTTAAAAACACCCTCTCATGGAAGGGAAAGAGCTCACAGAGCTCCACCTCTTCCTAAGGACTTATACACAGTCAATGGTTGCTGGAGAGGCAGAGACATTTTTTCTAGTAATATAGCCATGATAAGGTGCCCACGCTCCTATAAACAAAACTAATTAAATCCATTGGGTCACACACAAAAAAGGGTGAGATTGGAACAGGAAGAAGGTTAGTGGGAGTGGTAATGGGTGAGTATCATCAAAATACATTATGCACACATATATGAAAATGTCATAATGAAAAAAATTAAGTACACTTAATATATGCAAACAAAAAGGAAACACTTAAACACTGCTGGTGGGAATGTCAACTAGTACAGCCTCTATGGAAATCAGTATAGCAGTTCCTCAAAAAAATAAAAAATAAACAAGTAAAGCTATTACCATAGCTCAGTAAAGTACTTGCCATGCAAGTCCAGCAACCTGAGTTTGATCCCTAGAACACATGTAAAAGTAGAAGAGAAACAAATTGACCTCCACACATGACCCACTCCAAGTTATCCTCTGACCTCAACACATGCACCTTGCCACATGCAACCTTGCATGTGCACACGTGTGCGTGTACACATACATACACACACACACACAGACAGACATACATACAGTTTTTTTAAAAATAAAAACAACAGTAGATTTACCAATCCTGGGTGTTTACCCAAGAGACTCCAAGTCAAGAGATCACAGAGTTACTTGCACACCAGTGTTTACCACAGCACAATTCACAACACCTAAGTTCTTTTACTAACCTAGGTGTCCTACAACATAGAATAGATAAGGAAAAGGTGCTATAGAACATTTTCCAGCCATAAAGAAAAACAAAATTACATCATTTTCAGGAAAACAGATTTAACTGGAGATCATCAAAGTAAGCAGAACTGAGACAGTCTCGTGTTTCTCTCCTATGCAGTTTCTATGTTACATAGATACATAAAATCACATAGGAAGATATTATATCAAAGTAGAGGTGAAGCTCTCTAGGGAACAAAATGGACTAACAAAGGGAGGAGGGTAGAGAAGGGGCAAGTGCAGGGTGTGAGGGAGGGTGGAGGAAGGGTGCATATATTCAACAAACAGTAAACAGCTGCATAAAAACATCCTGATATAGCACAGTAACATTACAATGAATCTCAAAACAACTTAAAAATCAAGTAAATTTGTATGATATGAGAAAAGACAAGAATTAAAAATATAACTTACCAATTGCAAAGACATGAGGTGGCATCGTCCCAAGAGATTTTCCTTGATATGACTTTATTGTATCTGAAGAATATATTTTAGGGATATCAAAGTATGGATTCACTGCAATCAGAATGTTGGCGACATATGTCTAAGTAGGAAAAGCAGAAAAAGGAAATTTCCATGTATTACTTTCCTTCAAAACTAAACAAGGCAAACAGGAAAAATATTCAGTGGATATAAACCTTCAATTCTCATACAAACAAGACTTCACAATCTACATTTCTAGGCCTAAATTAAATATTTTCTGATTTTACAGAGTCCACTATTTCTCAAGTTCCAAAGAAATACTTATTTCTAAATAAATGTCCTTATGCTGTCATTCCACAGTCATTTCAAAGTCAACACCTTAAAAAAATAAAGATTATAGTTTACCATGTCCCTATGACTCATTAAAAAAAAATACCTTCCCATCATTCTCCCTGGTGATGGCTTCTCCACATACTGACTCTACCAGAGTCCACAAGCTGGGTCCCACAGCTCATCTCAGGCCACAGGTATCCGCGGACTATTCACCACAACACTAAAGCATTTAAATGATCTTCTAGCTCAGTCTGAGCCTCCCTGTCAATGAATGCTTGGGAGTGAAACAGCTCTGATGTGACCACTTGGTCATGGGAGTTCTGCAGAACACCACACGCTAACCACTGGCGGGTAACTATTCCATGAGCAACTTCAACTTCCTTTTAAAATTGAAATTTAATTTGGTATTTAAAGGCCATAATAATGCACTAATAGAATTTATAGAACTTCTACTTGGGGAGATAGAGAGTTGTAGTTTAGTAACACTGGCAAAACCGAGGCATACAAGGCCCTACTTCTCTCCTTTCTTCCCAACTGTGGAAGAGAAGTGCTGTAAAAATCCTGCTGTCTCAAACTGCTAAATGCACACAAAGTCCCCAAAGAAGCTTCCTGGAGGAAAGTGGTGCCGAGGACAGAAGGGACTGGAGAGGTGGCTCAGCACTGTCTGCTCAAACAAAGGAGCCAGGTTTGGCTCCCAGAAGCCTCTTCGGACCTCCACAGACACTAGTCACATACCGGCTGCACATACATACAATCAGGAAAAACACACATACACATAAAATAAAAAGAAATAAATCCCCAGAAATGAGGACAAAAAGTAAATGATCAGAGATTTCAGTAACATGAAAATGTTAAATGAGGCTCAACTATTGTTTTAATCAAATCTAACTACCAAAAAGCTTAAATTATTACTCTAAATTGCCTCCTTCCCATAATTATGCATCTATATAAATATCAATTGATACATTTATTTAGATTTTATAATAATAACAGATTCATTTATGGGTTGCCCACCATCTCATGATTTTATAACTAAAAGGCCTAACTGGCTAGGAGAAGAGGACATGCCACTTCTGACTTCAGGCAGCCTGACAACTCTGGTCCTTACGCTCTTCTCAGAAGGGGCAGTCCCCCAGTTATATCCAAATTGATTTTCGCTGATTTACAAGTTAAACTGTTTCAACAGGCTTTAAAACTTTGCTGCTTCAATATCTAAAACAACACTCAGTGAACGTTAGAGTCTGTTCAATCACAAGTTATAAACAGAATAAACTTCACCTCTGAAAACGCTTCTACCCAAGAATACCTATATTCACACCTAAACTGACTCTTTAGTCAGTTGCACGGATAAGGTAAAATGGAAGGAAGTAGAGTCTTATCAGCATGCACAGCCAGGAGACAAGCAGATTCTTTGGGAGAGACCACGCTAGTTCTATTTCCAAGCTGTCACTACTTGGACAGATGGCAAAGACTAGATGTAATTTAGTCAGAATTAAGTAAGTACAATTAGGCAAATTGATAGTGATATAAAAGATTAAGACTGTCATTTGATCTTGTAAGTGTCAAAGAAGCCATGTGCGTCCTTCGTTCAAAAATAATGAAGCCCATCTTTATAACAGGATACCAGAGTGTGGTAATCCATCTCCAGCCAACAAAAGAATCTACGACCAGGTCAGAACATTATAAAATCTCATCTGTGCCCAATGAATAATGATAATTAAAACACAGTAGCTAAATAACCATCTGAATTATCTGAGACTAACTACTTACAACAAAAGCATTGTCTTTCTTTGTGTTTAATGGTCTGTACATTTCAGAACCAGAATGTAAGGAATAATGAAATCCTACAGTTATTTAGGCTCCATGATCAGCATTCTTGTCTATCTGATACTTCTTCAGCTATTGCCTTCTATTTAACTTACTTAATTTTCCTTATTTAGCTTTCTTTTTAACTTCAGTACATATATGTCGCCTTAAATTCTCTGCACGGTGTGAAAAGTGAAATTAAACAGATGTGTAAACATATACCAAAAATAAACTCCAAAAGAGTTTTAACCACTCAAATTGAACCTTTGTAAGTCCAATAATTGGTTCTCTGAATTCATTATCTTATTCTGTAAATTTTATTAAGTACCCACTGTGTACCAGGTTCATGGGAGCTCTGTTTGGAGAGCATGCATTAGAATTCTCATGTACACTCAGACCACGCAGGGAAAAAGTAAATGTTCCATGTGAGACAATTACCCACAAAGACTAGAGTCATTGGTCAAATACTTACATAGATTCTGTCTTTACTATACCGAACTTTGACATTATGGAGGAGTGTGGCTTCATTTAAGTACATCAGTGAACCTAAGAGAAAATTTTAGAGAGTTGAAATAAAGATTAAAAATAAAGCTCATTATACACAATCACTCTGATTCCCGTTTAAAATTCACTTGTTAGGGGAGATTTAATACCATGTTTTTTTAGAACACAGGTACACATAAACCCCATGGGCTAGTCCAAACCAAATCCATCTGGGGTACGTTGCATTGGTAGAACATTTGCCTAAAATAAATCTTGTTCATTACATCTGTAAGAATTATAGACGATACATTCCAGTGAGTTACATATAGTGAGTACCAGTGATGTATTCTGCTGAGGTCAGGTTTAAATGTCAACTATCAATCAAGTGGAAAGAACTACTGTATCCATTTAGGACCCTACAAACTGAGCTACTAATCCAGTTCAATGCTAGAAGCTTACCGATAAAAGAGAAACCATACAGATTTAGAATAATAAGGGACCAACAAGTCATTTGGATAGTTCTCATGATGACTGATAAAAGGAGAGTCAGGCCCAAGAGATATCATGCATCCAGCATATTTATGAGTTAAGTTCAAAATCAGAACAAACACCTTGTTCTCTGTTCTGTTGCAGCGATCCATCCCAAGTTCTTCCCTACCTAGTCCCTATGCACTCCCATGTCTTATGCTTCATTTCCACGACAAGCCAGAGCAGAACGTATGCTCATTGGCTTGCTGTTGCGACCATAATTCTATCAGTTATCCAAACTGAAAACAGTAGTCAACATCAGAGCTATCTCTTCTTGTCCTCCCACTTAAAGTCAGTTTCTAAATCTCTGCATCCACATAAAGAAAGATACAACCCACAGCCAGATTCATGGTAAGTATCCTACTGTTAACACAACCTGAATCCCTGACTTGTCTCTCCCTCCTTGTCTACAGCCCCGTTGCTGTACAGGATGGCTGTGAAGGTCACCCTACCTCTTTCGTAGTTAGAGTGACTTCTATTTGTCTATGGCTTTCATCTCTATTCTCCCTAGTCCAAACTGTGGAATGCATTAAGTAGACTAGAGCACTAACTAAATCTCTCTCCATCTCAAAGAAACCTGCTGGGGCTCAACTACAAACATTCACCTTAAACTCTATTGAAAGCTGTTATTAAACATGCATTCAAATGGTCATTTTTATGATTTTCTATAACCTATTCTAATATCTAACTTGTACACATTTTTATGATTTTCTATAACCTGTTTTAATACCTAACTTGTACATAGATAGCTATTTATCAAACCCACAATCTATTCATACATCGTGTCTGCCTACAACATCCTCTCTATCTATCTATCTATCTATCTATCTATCTATCTATCTATCTTTTATATATATATATATATATTTTCTTTAAAGTCACTTTTCAAAATGATACTTTGAGATAGATACAGACCTGTCTCAAAATGATACTTCTCCAACCTCACCACCTCCAGAGCTAGTCTCTTCTTTCCTAATCTGTCAGGATTAGGATGATAATTTTATACTTCTGGTTTCAGTTACTAAGCCAAATACTTGAGGGCAAGATGCTGCAGACTTCACTTGTTTTACGGGTCCTCACTTAAGACATAGCACATGTTCAGTACCTGTATCCCCAGTATACAAGTCAACAGTGCCTACAAGAGCCTCTTGCTAGACCTTCCTGGCAAAGAACAGCCCTGTTTCTGCACTTAGACAATGAAGTCAGCTCACTTTCTAAGGGCCTCATTGCCTTCTGATGCCCCCAAAAGCAGAGCAGGAGAGTGAGCAGTAGGATGGGGCTCTTCACAGTTGAGTTGTAACTTTCCTTTGAACTGAGGAAGGATCGGAAGGGCTCCACCTTCATTCCTGCTCTTCTCCCACCCTCATTCCCTACAAGCCCAATCTACGTGTTGCTGCTTCTCTCTTCAGCATTCTGCTGAGCCTCTCCCCACATCTCACTTTCCTCTGAACACCTGCCTACACACTAGCATCTGCTCCCTCGAAGGGAGAATCGCTGATAGCACAGCATGCAGACCGGGTCAAAACCAGCCATGTAACCCGATACTGACATGTGGATGGCTGCTAACTCTATTCTCCTCACCCCAGTCCTTACTCCCCACCTGCCTTCTCAAAGATATCTGTTCATCCAGCCAAATAAACTCCTCACAGGCACGATATCTGTCAAAGGCAGGAGGACCTTCAGTCACACTGATCGGGCTATTCCATTTTCATGGGGAAAAAAATCTGCTGTGTGTCAAAGTAGGAAAGGTTAAGTTTCAACCACCTCCCTAGTAGTGTTCACAAGGGTCCCAGAAACACCTAGTTTCACCCCACCCCCTTCTGGTAGCCAGCCCTATAGTTACTTAGCTTGGCTATTTACAATACTTTATACGGACTGCTTACTTTTAATGTCTAGGTATTTAAAGATTTAACTATAGTCAAAAGAACAACAATATTTTTTTTTGAAATGGTATCACTATGCATCTCTGACTGACCTGAGACCAGGCTGGCCTTGAACTCACAGAGATCTGCCTGTTTACACTTCCCAAGAGCTACGATTAAAGGTGAGCACCACCACACCTCGAAGACCATTTATTTTAGTGCGTGTACATTTAGTGATGGGGCATGCATGGCATGGCACTGAGTGGGTCCGAGGACAACTCTGTGGAGCTGTTCTCAGCATCCACCTGTACATGGACCAGGGAAATGGAATTCAGGATGCCGAGCTTGCACTGCAGGCACCTTTACCAGCTGAGCCATGTCACTGGCCCGAATGCATCCCCTCTAAGCACACAATGTACATAACTACTTCTACATTGCATATGAACTTCCCAAAAGAGGAGCAACGTGGCCTGTAGGCACATCAGCTTGCAAGCTGAAGTCAGAATCAGAACCCATGATGGTCTCCCCATCAGCCCACAGTGCCCCCAACACCAGCACCATTCACAACACCTGTATCTATATATGTGGTCTTTCAGGCTTACTCAATTTTAAACGCCAGTGAAAAACAGTAAGAATAAACCTGTATTTTTTCTCTTGTCCCCTTTTCTGGAGACTACTAAGTTAGATACTTCTAAGAAAATCCATGGTAACTAGAACTGCTCCTCATATACCACACTTGCCCCCACTACAGTTTTGATCTGGAATGTTCTCCGAAGATACCTCTGTTAAGCTTCACCTGGAGCTGTTGGAAGATGATGGGAACTTTAAGAGGTAAGGCTGGCACTGGGGTGTGCCTTAAAGGAACGATGGGGACAGGGAATTTTCTTAGCTCTCTTTGCTTCCTGGCTCCAGTGAAGTAAGTGACTTCCTGCCATAATGCACTGCTCACCAAAGGCACAAATGGAGGTGTCAAATAACCAGAGACAGAAACCTCCCAATCTAGAAACCAAACAGGCCTCCCCGCTCCTGTTAAATTAATTCAGATATTTTGTTACAGTGATGAAGATCCAAAACAACTAAAATGTGATTATCTCTGACTGTTGAAATAGAAAATAAATATGCCCTGTTCAATGAATAAAGAAGTTTTCACCAAGTATTTTAAGGTCTCTATAAAGCAAATCAATACTATGTTTTAACATAATGCTCTTAGATAAACGTTTTAACTCTAAATTATTCAGCAATGTTGTTTGTTTTGTTTAATAGTGGTTTGCCATATCCAAAGAGTGATATTAAATGACTCTTGCTGTCAGCTTCCAAATTAGTATGAATTCATCCCCCACTACAAGGTTTGGAATAACTTTAGAGACAACTAAGATGAGCCTTCAGTTGAAACCTCACACTACATCATCACCCTTTCCACACAACTGAAAGGGCAGTAGGAGACACTCAAGAGACCCTCACAGACTGCACATGGGATGCAGGAATGAACTTAGGCCTTCCAAGCTCCCAGGGGCTCTTATCAAACCTGTGTGCTCCGACCTAGTCTCCTGTACTAGTAACATAACCACTAACTGACTTTCTGGAAGCAGATACTTCTATGGATGAAGAAGTAACTTTGAAATTAATACTTACAGTTATCTTCCACATCTTTTTTACTGTCCTCTTCTGCAGGGAACACTTGGTTTATAGGAGCCAAAAATGTCTAGCAAACAAACAAAAAATTGTAAATGTAGATAATAAAAAAGACAAGGAGTTCAACTGGTTGCATATATTGTAATGATAGCAACGATACATTCTCTATTAGAGTCTAACACAGATTCTACTACTTAACTAAGCACTCTTTCAAAAGACAGTAACTTCCACCAAAAACTGTGTCCACTACCACTGTAGACATGAATCAACAATAGCAATTACCAAGTAAGTATCCCAGGTTCTCACACCCACAGGGAGACAAAATAACAGACACACTAATCCTAACAAAGTAACAAAGACACCAATCCTAAATTTCTGCTTAGAGGCATGCTAGTTACCAAAAATCAAAAGCACTTTTATGCTTGCATATAAACCATTTTGTTGTTTTGAAACAGAAACATGCATAATCATTTACATACAGCATAAACAAACTACTACTACTGTTATTTGAGAAATATATTTGATATCAATTCCCACATAAAAATACATCAAGAATATAAGAATATCTGATCCATATAATTAAAAGTACCCACAAAAAACTGGGTGTGGTGGCACATGCCTGCAATTCTAGCACTTGAGAGGTGCAAGGAGGGGGAATCAGGAATTCAAGGTCACGTTTGGCGACATAATGATTAAAGCCAGGCAAAGCTAAGATTCTGTCTCAACAAAAAATTAACCCAAAAAGAAACGTGCATTCTTTCATCACTTAAAATGCTATGTGAGACACTGCAGAATTAAGATAGCATCTTGTAACAGAGAACAAATGGTCTCAAATTACATCTAAAGAGAATTAAATTTTAATCCATGCCATCTTAACAGTTATTTATAAATTTATACCTCTAAATAATTACAATCAACTCTTCCAGTTGACATTTCCAACTGTACCAAATTAAACTCTTCAAAAAAAATGGCCTGGTTCTTTTACAATAATATCGGCATCTGCAGGACTGAAGGGTTAGCTCAGTGGTAGCGTTTATGCTCAGCATGTCCAAAGACCCAGACCTGATCTCCAGTACCAAAACCGAAAACAGTGTGAAACTCTATGTGTGCAAGGATGCTATATACAATAAGGTGATCATAGTTTATGAAGTAAAAATTCAGGCTTCACAGACAATTCCAATTTAAAGGTATAACCAAGTTGGTGGTGCGGGGATTGCTCAGTGGTAAAGAAAGCTCTTGGGTAAAATATGCGATGCTCTGAATGCAATCTCTAGTGCCGCGAACACAAAACAACAACATCGTCATACCCAGCTTAGAATACTGTTAAACTCAACACTCAGAAAGCTAATTCTTTGCAAACTAATGCATATGTTCTCAATGTTATAAATTTAGATGTTTTGGAGGCTATTCTTTCAAAAGTGAACTTGGATCAGTATGAACTAGTGAACAGTATGTAGAAGAAGACAGCATAAAACAATCAATTCATAGCAATGGTTCTGTAGGAAAATCCGTTCTGCAATAGCTGCTAATACCACAGAACTGTATATACACTTGCCACAGCCATGGCAACAGAGGGCATGGTCCTAACCTGGCAGGAACTATAGCCAATGAAAAAGACTCCAGATGAGAAATGAATGCTGCCGGGGAGGAGCAACTGAGCTCCTTAAATAAGAAGGTTAACAGCAAGCTAAGACCAGTCCAGAAGTCTCTCTCCCTCTTCCTTCAGACCCCCAAATTAACAAGCAGCCTCTGTTTTCTCTACTTTCAATAAAACAAAATATCTCATTTAAAAAAAATTCCATCATAAAGTTTTTATTTTTATGTTAGGGAAGTTTTTCCATTATCAGAAGAAAACCAGGGCCCAGCAAGATGGCTCAGTAGATAATGGCACCTGCCATTAAGCCTGGGGACCTGAGCTTAACCTCCTAGGACCCATGTAATGAAGAAAGAGACCACTTCCACAGGTTGTCCTCTGATCTCTACTCAAAAGGATTGTGTACAACACACACACACACACACACACTAAAAATAACTTTCTGTAAAGGCAGTGGCTTAAGCCTCCATAATATTTTTTAGAAAATTTAGACTTTAGTTCATAGGAATATTTGTAGATCTATAAAATTTATGTGATTCCATAATTTAAACTAAGCCTCCAGGCTGGCAAGATGGCTCAGCCATGAAGATTGAGATCTTGAGCTCAATCCTTGGGACCCACAGGATGGAAGGAGAGAACCAATACTCTCAAGTTAGCCTCTGACTTTCACATGTACACATGCACATGTGCACACAAACACATACACGCAACAAATAAACAAATGTCCCCAAAATGACTGAATTAAACTGTACTTCTATTGGTTCTAGATACATACNCACACCTTAGGAACACTAACATGACATAGTTCAAACACTCTGAAATATATAAAATATTTTACAAAAGCACATCCCCTTAAAATCAAGTTTCTTTTATTCTTGAGCTGAATTACTCTGTCACCTACAGAGGTGACAAACCTCAGTGGAACAGACTCGGGACGTACAGCCCTCACTTCTGGCCTTTAGCTTACTGAGCTTATGAAACACGTTAAGCAAAAGGCAAAGGCTATCAAAATTTATTGTATGTGAACTTTTAAAAAGCCACTTTTTAAAAAGGCGGTGTGGCTTACAGCACGCACAGGTACTGCTAATGAGTGAAAACGAGAACACTTTATCTTTCCTTTCCTGAAGGCATCTTTAATTGGCCTCCACTAACATGGCACAATATATATTAGGCATTCTGGTTCCTGGGTTGTTTACAGTAACAGAACAGTCTTCTCTCTCTGAAGAGACCTCATGAGAGATCCACTTTGTTTTTCTACGGTTCCCAGAAGGATGGCAGTCATATGGCCTTAGCTAACCATGTAGCAGTAGAACATAAATTATTCATGGATATTTGCAGAGCTTGAAGTAAACAGAAATTATATCAGCATATTTAGTCAGAAAAAATGTTTAGTAGGATTATTTGTTAAACTTAAAACTGTGAGACTGTGGTCCAAAAGACTGAAACACACATGTCTATACCGGGGGCTCTGGCTGTAAGCAAATCAAAACTCCTGGTCACTCTCCCCCAAGGTCCACTTAGGAATCATGACTAGTCTATGTCTAAGACTTTACAAAAGGAAGTAAATAATATATGTACAGAATTAAAGTATATTTTATACTACTATCATAAAAATAACAATATATGGGAGGTTTAAGAGTCAAATATCTTTCCTTAATAGAAAGATGTTTACCCAAATCCCACATTATATGTTTATGTAAATGAAATGGAAAAAAAAAGGAAAAGAAGATGACAAAGCTGAAGCTCCAAGCAGAGCTTGACCTCAGAGCAGCACCCGCATCATCCACATTTACTTGGTAACACACCGACTCCATCAGAGCCATACCAGTGATCCTAACAGTCTGGCATATGGGATATAGATGCTGCCACTGAGTGCATTTTCTCACACAACTAAGAGTGCTGGTTCTGAATCACAGGATCCTACTTCCTCATAGTGCGCACTTCCCAGCTAAACAAGGAAGTCAGCCCAAAACTTGGATGGCATTGCCGGGCATTTGTTTCCGCCACTACAGCAGGAATGTCGACTTCATTTTCACCTTTCATGGGGAAGAATTTATGTACACACACACACACACACACACACACACACACATATATATATACACATACAGCTGTATCTGAAAGAGATCACATTTCGAAATCTCTACGAGACACTCACCTTGCCTTTTTGGTTCAAGGGTTCAATAGTTAGGCTGTCAGGGCCAATATCCACAATGTTGCCCATCTGAAATCCATCTGTGGGGTGGGGAGCCCAAACGGGCTTTCCATCTTCCATTTTGAAGGAGGTTCTCCACTATCTCCTGTTCAGAGGAACAAATAAAGCAACATGAATAACTGTGGAGATGTCTTCAAATTGTTTCTCCTTTACCCATGTAAATAAATCACAAGTCATAAAAAACGCCTGCTCCCTCTCTACTGCATCCTGCTACCTCTTGCTGTCTACCTTAGACAACGAAGGCAGAGGCTGCTCCACCCTGGAACCTGCCTGCTTTGGCCGTGAGTATACCGGAGTACAGTTTGGAATGGAAATGCTCACAGTTCCTACCTTCCATCTGAAGACAATTTAGAATTCTACCTCAAGGAATCTGAGTGGCTCATTCATCTTGTAGGAATAGACATCTATGGTGCAAAGTTAACAGAGTGTAAAAAGGACTCATTTTGGACCTGAAGGGTTGCGGGGCTGGGGGGGGGGAGGTCTTTCCTGTGGGCTCCCTGAGTCTGAGACAGCAGGCATGTATTCCTCAGGCTCATTCCCACACAACTGCTCAGCATACGTTCCCATTTTCCTACCTTGCTGCTAATTTGAAGCTCACAGTGAAGTGAACAAATCTAAATACGCACGTTAATGAATCTGGACAGATGACTGCACCATCTAAGAAGCACCCTCCTCGGTTCACAGAGCATCTCTACCGGTTCCCACGCCTCCTGTCATCTCCGCTGTCCTCAGTTTTTGCCTGTTCTTGAACTTCATATAAATGAGATCATACCGTCCGCATTCTTTTGTGTCTGGCTCTCTTCATTTCAAAGCATTTCTATATGCAGCCCAGTCAACCATATTGCCGTGTGGGTCTACTGAACAATGAACTGTTTACCTGTTGTCTCTCTCGCATTTGAGTGGTTTCCAGGTAGTGCCCACTGAAGACATCCCATTTTCAACTGTCCCTATGAGGCTTTCACGCTTGGCATTCTGAAAGTTAACATTTATAATTCTGTCTACTGAGCAACCAAACGGGCACAGCTATCCAAAATGCTTTTTTAACGGAGCTCCTATGCTATAAGACTAATGTGTGATTCAATCTGCCAGCAAGTTGAACCTAGATATTCTACTTTCAGTATCTCAGTGGGAACCTAATTCTTCCACTATTCACCTGTACTTAAAGAGCAGACGATTGATGTAACATACTGTTTGTTATGCACGCCTAGGAACTCCACTGAAGATCCCATGACCTCAGGACTCTGAGATGCAGTCCCTCACAAGAGCCACACAGAGACACACGGTTCAGTTGAAAACTGCTCACATGCTGCATCTTGCAGTGTGTTTGGTGGATAATCTTTCCTATGCAGTGCTTGCAGAATGAGCTACCTTCTCTATGCAGCTCCTATATTTACATGTAACTCTAAGTTAACAAACGAAACAAAGATTCTCCATAGACAGTAAACCGGTAACTCTGCTTTAGGCTTCCTCTGCTGCATATGCATGCATGCCTGTTTTCCCTATAATGGCAGCCACTCTCATGGCTTCACATGCCATCTGTGTGTGAGGGATACTCAAGCTTTTCTTATCATCCCAGATCCCCATGAAATTCCCAGACGTTTACCTGCCTGCTGGAACCTAACACAACGAACAGACACATTGTCATCATTATTCGGGTCTGCACCCCGCCTTGTTCTGCCCTGCACTGGTAAAGACAGCATCACTCAGTTCAAATCCCACCTGGAGTCATCCTCAACTCTTCCGGCTCCTTCCGAATTCTTATCACCCTTTAATTAACTTCGCCAGCTCTCCCTGCAGAGACACCTCAGACCCACCCACTCTTCTGCATCTCCTCTGCTATCTCAGCCCAAGGCTTCCGCAGTGGCTTACGTACCTGCTTCTACTCTTGCTGATCTTCAGATCAGCACTAATCCCGCTAAAACACACATCCCATTGTGCCACTGTTATCCATCGGGGCACAGACCCCTTGTTTCCTGCTTGCTCCTAGGGCCTAGCACGATATACACAGCTGACAGTCCCTGGTGCATGAATGAACAGCTCACACCGTCCTGAGGAGTAAGCAGAGACGACAGACTAGAACGAGTTGGATTCTCTTAAAACCGAGGCTTGAAACTCTGCCCCACCACTGACTGCTCTGAGCAGGTTGACTCCCTGATCGTATCTTTACCTTTATCTCAGTGGTGGGATAGTCTCACTTACCCTTACAGAATTGCTGTGGAGATTAAGTGACATAAAACTGAGATCACCGCTCTCATAGACCCTAGTCACACCTCTCCCTGCCCCCCCTCCCCGCATCCTTCCATTGAAACCACTAATAATTTGATGGCAATCTTCTATACACAGAGAAATGGACAGTAATGATAGTTTAGGGGATAATTATCCTTTTAAAAATTCTGAAAATGTCAACCTCATACAGCAAAGCACAACCCCCCAATCCAAAAAAAAAAAAAGGTAAATCAAATTATCCAATCAGTTTCTCAATTTAAACTATGAAGTGCAACTTTTCAATGAAGTGAGCAAAGTTCAAGGCACACATCTAAGCTTGCTTCTTCAGCACAGCCCTAAATCTACAATGAGGTAATTCTCAGAAAGTCTGTCCGGGCTGTCAAGACGGCGCAGTAAGTAAAGGTGCTTGCTACCAAAGGTGACAATCACAGTTCAACACTCAGAACCCACATTGTGGAAGAAGGTGAGACCCGGGTTCTGAAATTGTCCTCTGACCTCCACATGCAGGCCGTGGCACATGTACGTGCATGCACAGATAGATTACATACACATTAAATGAATAAATAAAGAGGTGTAAGAGAAACCCTTCCCGTCAACCCTCATTCTTACTAAGCATGTCCACATATGCAGAGTACCTCAAGGCATTGTACGCCATGCAAGGTGGCTCACAGCTACAATCCCAGCACTCCGGGACAAGCTCACGTCCAGTCTGAGCTATATAACAAGACCTTTCTCAATAAAATAAAATAAATAAGCAAACAAACAAAAGATTCTACAAGGTGAGCCATTAAAGGGCAGACTCGCTTCCCAGGGCTACCACACTAGATGCCTTGAACTCCATGGAAGGCTGGCTGCAGAAATACTGAGCGGATGCAAATCAAGACAACTTTAAGATACCATCTTACACCTGTCAGAATGGCTAAAATCAAAAACACCAATGATAGCCTATGCTGGAGAGGTTGTGGAGAAAGGGGTACACTTATCCATTGCTGGTGGGAATGCAAACTTGTTCAACCACTCTGGAAAGCAGTGTGGCGGTTTCTCAGAAAATTTGGGATCAACCTACCCATGGACCCAGCAATACCACTCTTGGGAATATACCCAAGAGAGGCCTTATCATGCAACAAAAATATATGCTCTACTATGTTCATAGCAGCATTGTTTGTAATAGCCAGAACCTGGAAACAACCTAGATG